GTACCTAACAGACAAGAAAAGTGTTTATTGTTTTTTTTTCTATGTATTGGTGACTTCGTATGTTGCTTTCCTTGTTTGTAGATCGTCTTTCATAATTCCAAATATCAAGAACATTACAACTTTAATAAATATTATAATTTTATACATTGATCATTTTTAATATATTTTAACATTCATTATGATTATTTCGTTATTAACATTATTATTTATTTATACATTTAATATTTATTAACAATTTATTTACTCTTGAATATTCGTTTTATTCACAAATACCTGTCTACTCATAAACAATCATTTATTCACAAATATATTTATTTATCGATATTGAAATCTAAAATTTTAAGAACGTGTCAAAAGTAGCAACAAGGGGTAAACTCATAATTCTCGAAAATCCCTTTTCTCTCATCACACTCCGGTTAATTGTTTCATCCCAAAGTTGTATCTTTTTTTTTGCATTCCGGGATAGAGAAACAAAAAATCTATAAATAGGTCCCATAACGAAAGCTGTAGATTTTATATCAGGGCTAGGTCAGGTAATTTCAGAACGAGAATTAAAAAAAAAAATAACAACAAAAAGTAGGACATATTCAGGCGACCTGTATGCGCACAAACACGCATTCAAGAGCTTATACTCACTCCGGCAGCCTCGGTCACCACTCGAGCTTGCTTCCCCATTGTCTCTGGAATGAGAATATACACACTCTGAAACAGAGCTCGCAATAGAGCAGGCCCTCATTGCGATCTCGATAACGCTGCATTGGATGCTGTTGTTATAAAGGAATATAACGATCTAGTTTCGAGAACTGTCATCCGAGATGTATGACTCTCCGAAAACTCGGCTACTTTCCTAAAATATATGAATATTCAGAGCGCGCAAGTCTGAATAGAATGTCCTGGATTTGTATTATCCAAATTTAAAGCATTATTGATCATGCAGAATTTACAATGTTTGATTTAAAGTAAAATAATAAAAATTCTTTTGTAATTACGTATAAGGTTATTCCTCACAGCACCAGATATCCTAGGATATTCCAAAAACATCCTTTGGATGTCCTAGGGATACCCCAGGGATATCCTAAGGATACTTTAAGGATATCCAAATTAGCGGCGGTTAGGATATCGTAGGGATATCTAAGGATGTCCCTAGGACGTCCCAGGGATATCCTAATTGTGTCCCCGGATATTATTAGGATATCCTGCGAATATCCTTAGAACGTCCCAAGGATATCCTATGGATATCCTTAGAACCTGCCAAGGATATCTTCAGGACGTCCTAAGGATATCCACAGTATATCTATATTATCTTAAGGGTTAGAATATCCTTGAGTCGTTTTAAAAATGTCCCTAAGGTATCCATAAAACGACCCTAACATACAAATTAATTAAATAAAAATGGAAAACATATTTTTTTTGGATGTCTTAAATCGGGAATAATAAATATTCTTGTAACAATTGAGGGATATTCCATTCCCTAGAATATCCCTAAAATACCCTGCGTAACGGCGGTTTGGATGTTCTGAGGATATACTATGGACGTTTTCAGGATATCCTACATTAGTTTAAGATACCCTTTTGTTGTGAGGGTTGAAGCACCAAAGTGTAAATTATCTTATTGGTTCTTAAAAAATAAACATCTGTATTTTTCAAAACTATGTTTCTTTTTTTTACAAATTATTTATTTTCTTCCTTTTATAGAAATAATGAAATCTAAAACTTTAAGTGGTCTACACTTTGAGATTACCAAATTCACATAAACTAAAACAGTTGTAAGTAATAAAAGTTTAAACAAAAAATATTGTGATATCAACACAAAACTTTATGAATGCATTCTCCAGATGTCGATCGCTGGGGTTCATTCCTAATTTTTCATTTTCCCACGACAGACCCATGAGTCCCTATCGCCAAGATTTTCCCTCTGTTAGCAATAAAATTGCCTATTTCTAAAATTAAAAATATCAAACTACGAACCTATTTTATTTCTATCTCACACGTTAAAATAATAAATTTCTAATTTTTTATTTAATTATTAAGTTAACTCTAATTTTTAAAATATCAAATTAATTTATTAAATAATAAATTTCCAAAAAAGGAATTAATTAATTTTCAATTAACAAATTAAATTAATGTTAAATTTTTAAATCTTATTATAAAAATAATTGACTATTAAAATTATAAATAATAGAAAATTTATACGTTTTTACTAATTATCGTTTAATTATAAACAAATAATTTCTTTTATATGTTTAATGTATCAATATATATATATATGGGTGTAATGTATTTGTGTAAAATTACAAATTTTTGAATATTATATAATTAAATAATTATAAAATTATGTATTTTCTAAATAAGTTTGAAAATTTGTTTAAAAAGTGAATCTTGGCTCCATCTTTTATAAATAGTCTGAAATTTAAATCGTCACTTTTTCAAGACACCCTAATCTTAAGATAAGCCTACGCAAAGTCATCCCTTGCAAAGGCTGGGTCTAAAGGACCCAATGACATCTTTCTATTGATAAGATTTTCTATTTTTGTTTTTCATAAATCCAATCATTGATCTTTTCCAGTTTCCCACTCTAAAAATATTCATCCCCAAAACTTGTACCCGTCTTAAAAAATTAAGAAGGGATAGCAATATAAAAACTAATGACCTTAATAAAAAAAGTCAGTAGTTTTTATGTTCAGTTCTCTCAGTTGTTTCTACTATTTCCAATTCTAAGTTCTTTCAACTATTTTCAAGTTCCAAGATAATTCTTCTAAATCATTAAATTTTTAATTATTTCTCCAGTTATTAGTCAGTTCTTTTCAAGATACTTAAATTCTTCCAAGTTTAAATCTTCAAGTTCCAATTATATCATATACCAAGGTTTCTAGATTCATTGTAGAAACAAGTTTTTCCCACAATCATCATAAATAAAATTGTAAAAGTAATTTTATTATTTATCAATTTTCATTCTTTTCTTTAATTCACTTGTCAATGCTTCTAATTCAGAAGGACGTATTGAGATTAAGTTGAGCATTTTAGTTACTTCATTTCTTAAAAATTTGCTCATTACTTTTTTTATAAACCTTTCGAAATTTTTTTTAGTGTATTTAGTGCATTATTATCTTTTCAATTCTTTTAAATTTACCCCTTTTCAAAACAAACCAATTTGAAAAATTCTTGAGTTGTGGACAATAGTCTAGACTCAAAAATAAATTAAAATTTACTAATTATGTTGTGTTGTTGGACGTAACACATATTTCCTGCACCAGCTAAATCATTTACCTCCTTTTATAAAATTGTATTTTTTTAATTAGTTTTTCTATTTTCCGTTTAAAATATCATATTACAGAAACATATATTAATAATAATGAAATATTTTATGAAAATGTCAATTATAATTTAGTCAATATTAATAAATAATTATTTTTTTTTACTTTGCAGATTGACAGATCTATCATCGCCTCAATACTCCACCCATACCACTATGTCAATAATAATTTTCACAACTTCGTATTCTGAATCAGAAGCATGTCGTTACATGTATTTCAACCTTATTTAGCTCCGAGGTGCACAACTCTTTGTTCAGTAGTAGTCTGAACGGGATTGATCGAACCTATTGAAAATAAAGTCAGCCTTTTGAATACGCGACCTGTCATTACCCAGTGACGTCAAAGAGAAAAATCGATACGTTATTAAAACGACTGTGACCATGCACGCGGAACTCGACAGGTTTTGATTTGCATCCTCTCATTCCACTTCTCTTTCCCTCCCTCTCTCTATCTATCTTTCTCTCTCCGAATACAGGAAGAAGTTTCGAAACGAAACGTAAACGGACAGTTTTCACGGCTCCTGGGACTCAAGAGTCCACGATCCAACGATCTTTCACTTCCGGTCTGTGCCAACTGTGCGGCGAACACCAGAGACTTTCCTCTCAATTGGATTTGAATACGGAATTAGGGTCGTTACTCTTCCCGAAGGAAGCGGTAAGACGTAGTTTTACGAGTGAACGTGCAAAAGAGATGAAAAGGACCACGTCTTTTCTTTTCACAAATAACCTATCAAAGTTTAAGCAATTTTTAAAAATTTCAAATGTTGAATATATATAAGGATTGGATTGTCTGCTTTTTCAAAAAAAATGTATATATACTTTACTCTCTTTTCTAAATAAAAACTATATAATATTTGTTGGAAATCGAATTTTCGACGACCACACATAACAACCTTCTGCTGCGATAGATAAACTGTAAATCTTTCAATTTGCGATAAATCTGACAACTGGAAGTACCTAGAGTCCAATTTCTTTTGGGATGAGGAAATCCTTTTGAAACCTTTAAACTGCTGCTTTGATGTAATTTTAAAATATAAAAAGAATATTTAAAAAGGATATTTAAATTAAATTTAAATTATCTTTTTTACAAACATTGAGAATATATCAAAATTAATTTTTTTTATATTGCTAAATTAATCATGGATATTGAATCACTACAATGAATATAGACATAGCATTTATAAACGAAGGATAAATTTTATTTGAATTGACTGACGCACCATGAGGCATTTTACTGACTGTTTTAAATTTAATGAATTTTTGATTATGCATATTTAGACCGATGACTGTTTTGAAGTCTGTAATGAAATTCAATAAAAAAAAGAAAAGACAACTTAGTTCCTTTCACATAAAAGGGTGATTTATATAATTCTAAGCCAGAAAATAAATGCACGAACATATTAAGAATAGAGAAAAAATAGTAATGAAAATTTAATTTGCAATAATTACAAAATATATTTATGTATTACATAATCATATTTTTAAGTAATCTTGTCAAGTAGAGCATCACTAATTTGCCATGAAAATAAATATAAAAAACAAACTTTTGATGAAATAGGCATATACTATTGTTTTATATATCGTTGGCTAACAATTCTGCATTTAACATTTGTCATCTTATTTTTTATATGACAAAATATTCCAAATATGCATTTTTTATACATTTCATTACTCAAAATAGACTCACCACCTAAAGTAGAATTTGATCGATCTTTACTATTACTAACTAAACTGGATGTGGTTTTATTAGTAGAATTAGAGGTAGATCCACCTCCTGAACTAATGATTGATCCATCTTTGCTAGTACTAACAATACTAGGAGTGGTACTTCCATTAGAAGCAGAGGCAGACACTTCTCCTAAAGCAGAGTTTGATCCATTTTTGCCAGTACTAACTAAGCTAGTAGTTGTATTCTTAGTAGAATTAGAAGTAGACCCACCTCCTGAACTAAAGACTGATCCATCTTTGCTAGTACTACCTAAACTGGATGTGGTTTTCTTAGTAGAATTAGAGGTAGACCCACCTCCTGAACTAGAGATTGATCCATCTTTGCTAGTACTAACTATACTGGGTGTGGTACTTTCATTAGAAGCAGAGGCAAACACTCCTTCTAATGTAGAGTTTGATCCATCTTTGCTATCACTAACTAAACTGGGTGTGGTATTTTTAGTAGAATTAGAGATAAACCCACTTTCTGTTCTAGACTTTGATCCATCTTTGTTAGTACTACCTAAACTGGATGTGGTTTTCTTAAAAGAATTAGAGGTAGACCCACCTCCTGAACTAGAGATTGATCTATCTGTGCCAGTACTAACTAAGCTGGGAGTTGTATTCTTAGTAGAATTAGAGATAGATCCACCTCCTGAACTAAAGATTGATCCATCTTTGCTAGTACTAACCATACTGGGAGTAGTACTTCCATTAGAAGCAGAGGCAGACACTTCTCCTGAAGCAGAGTTTGATCCATCTTTGCCAGTACTAACTAAGCTAGTAGTTGTATTCTTAGTAGAATTAGAAATAGACCCACCTCCTGAACTAAAGACTGATCCATCTTTGCTAGTACTACCTAAACTGGATGTGGTTTTCTTAGTAGAATTAGAGGTAGACCCACCTCCTGAACTAGAGATTGATCCATCTTTGCTAGTACTAACTATACTGGGTGTGGTACTTCCATTAGGAGCAGAGGCAGACACTCCTCCTAAAGCAGAGTTTGATTCATCTTTGCTATCACTAACTAAACTGGGTGTTGTATTTTTAGTAGAATTAGAGATAAACCCACCTCCTGAACTAGAGATTGATCTATCTGTGCCAGTACTAACTAAGCTGGGAGTTGTATTCTTAGTAGAATTAGAGGTAGATCCACCTCCTGAACTAAAGATTGATCCATCTTTGCTAGTACTAACTATACTGGGTGTGGTACTTCCATTAGAAGCAGAGGCAAACACTCCTTCTAATGTAGAGTTTGATCCATCTTTGCTATCACTAACTAAACTGGGTGTGGTATTTTTAGTAGAATTAGAGATAAACCCACTTTCTGTTCTAGACTTTGATCCATCTTTGTTAGTACTACCTAAACTGGATGTGGTTTTCTTAAAAGAATTAGAGGTAGACCCACCTCCTGAACTAGAGATTGATCCATCTGTGCCAGTGCTAACTAAGCTGGGAGTTGTATTCTTAGTAGAATTAGAGGTAGATCCACCTCCTGAACTAAAGATTGATCCATCTTTGCTAGTACTAACCATACTGGGTGTGGTACTTCCATTAGGAGCAGAGGCAGACACTTCTCCTAAAGCAGAGTTTGATCCATCTTTGCCAGTAATAACTAAGCTAGGAGTTGTATTCTTAGTAGAATTAGAGGTAGACCCACCTCCTGAACTAAATATTGATCCATCTTTGTTAGTACTACCTAAACTGGATGTGGTTTTCTTAATAGAATTAGAGGTAGACCCACCTCCTGAACTAGAGATTGATCCATCTGTGCCAGTACTAACTAAGCTGGGAGTTGTATTCTTAGTAGAATTAGAGGTAGATCCACCTCCTGAACTAAAGATTGATCCATCTTTGCTAGTACTAACCATACTGTGTGTGGTACTTCCATTAGGAGCAGAGGCAGACACTTCTCCTAAAGCAGAGTTTGATCCATCTTTGCCAGTACTAACTAAGCTAGGAGTTGTATTCTTAGTAGAATTAGAGGTAGACCCACCTCCTGAACTAAATATTGATCCATCTTTGCTATCACTAATTAAACTGAGGCTGGAATCAGAAGTAGTCCCACCTCTCAAGGTTGAATTTGATCCATCCTGTCCATCACTAACTGTAGTTCCCGTGCTATTGCTATTTGACTCAGGAGTAGATCCAACTTCCGATATAGGGGTCGTTGATCTATCATCCGTTGGTGCGCAATTCTATAATAATGCGTTATAATAATTGTTAGAATGTTTCTTTAATGTTAAATTTTATTCAGTAATCGTTAGTTAACAAACAATATATAAATATAAATCATTATTTTTGTTGCATTAACCATTTAATACAAAAGACACTACCTTTTCTAGGTATATAAATACTACTAGTCTTATTATTAAGTTTAAAAAATTCAATAGAAGTTCTATTTTTTACTTTTCAAGGACTTTGAGGTTAATAAAATATTTCTGAACTTTGACCTTGGGTCCAAAAATTAAAAAAATGTTAAATAAATTTTTTTAATTGTATTTAGATTCATTTATTGTTTAATGTAAAATTCAATCAAAGTTTTAAAAAAATTTTATTTTAATAATTTAGAAATATGTTTTTGAAACTTACGATTAACAATGTAGTGTAAAATCCACCAAATATTAATATAAAAAATGAATTAACTAAAAGAAAAGAAAACATTTTTCTCTAAATTTTTTTGTCAAACGATTGAAGAGTTATGAAAAATGTGAGTAATAATATAAATGTGGACTTTCTATTGCTTTTAACAAGTGGAATATATGTATGATCATAAGACCAATTGTGCGCTGACAATTGCATATTTCTCATAACGTTGTCAACAAATATGAGGTAATTTAAATGAGTTTACTACTTATTTGTCAATAGAAAACAAACATAAATGATGAAATTAAATATATATTCAAGAAGATTTTTTTATGTCAGTACCCTCTTTGAAAGTATTTTATTTAATTGTAACATAATATCTAAATAATGTTATATAAGAATATCATTTTAATGTATATAGGATTTTTGTGTAACTGTATTTATATTATAGACATTTATTGCACAATGTTCTTTGTTACAGTTACCATAGTCATTAAATACATCTTTTTATTTTAATGAAATTTCATAAATAAGTTTTATTTTAATGTTGGAAAATTTTCTTAATTTATGTTTTATTATTATTATTACTTTATTTATATAAAAATAATGATAAAATTTTATATTAGTAATCTAAATTACCGACTGGTAGTAAAATTTTACCATCAGTCGGTAAGGTAGATTCTGGTCATACATTCTTGACATTATCTATATGATGAAGGTCTATCTTAGCGACCGGTTTATTAATTATTTATTAAAAAGCCATATTTATTTTAAAAAAAGATAAAAAATGAGATTCTAAGTTAATTAACCTATGCTTTCAAAGAAATTAATAGAATTCAATTAGAAATATTGACAATTTTAATTTAATTAATAAGAAAAACAAATTACAAATTAAGAAGAAAATTTAATTAATTCTCGAACTTATTCAAAATTTAATAAACAAAAAAAATATTTTGTCGAAATCTACTGACTCCGACAACAAAAGCCAATAGCGTTTCCTTACGTTTATTAAATTTAATTTTCATTTTTCTTTTTATTTAACATAGTCGACCAACTCGACTTTTCCTCCTCGAATATTGTCTCCAATTTCATTACAAACCTTCACAACATTTTTATGACAAAAAAGTTATTTTATGGAAAATAACTAAACCAAAAAATAGTTAAATTACCCAACAAAGTAATGTTTATAATTTTACCTAGGAAAAACCAACTCAGGAATTATATTATTATCTTACAGCAACAATAGACCTGCGGAGAGGGAGAGGTAAAGGTAAACATAATTAATTAGACAAAATTTATAACAATTACACTATTTGTTTTTATTCACTTTAAATTTTTAAAAAATGGTCAAATTGGCAGACGGCCGAATCAAGATTCAAATTTTCATATTAGTCAATTATTATATATTGAATTTATACAATAATGAGATTGATTCAGAAGGAAAATAACTCATAAATAATAATTGAGAACTCACCGCCCATTTGACGACGCCTCGTCACACAAATAGAATTCTATTACATTTTAATTTAATTTCACCTAAAGAAGAAGAATAGTGAAAAACACCAACTACACTCTACGAACACCAGGATGAGAATGAAAAAATAAATGTCTGACGAGTCAAGCTAAAAAGCGTCGCTAATCAGCGGCCTCTCTTCTCGTTGTCTATTTGACTAATTAATATTCATTGTAATACCCGCAACCGATAATCGATCCGCGGTCGTCGGTAACGTAGATACCTGCACTATCCGATATTGAATTGATAAGTCCATAGGAAAATGACTATCAGTAGTATTTAGACAGATCGTCAACAAAACAGCATTTTCGTCTTCCTGGAGTTCTTGAATATTCGAGACTCACATTCACAGAAGAATGTGTATTGGAAGTCCCTTGATGACTTTCAATCGTAATGTTTAATACTGATGTCCTTAATGATTTTGTAATCCAACGTGAATCCTCAATGCCTCACGAGAGTTCGATCTCAACTTTTCGAGCTTTCGATCGACATATTGGATCTGCCATTATAAATATTTAAAAACTGGCATCAGATTCATAATCAGTGATCCTAAAAAGACCCCGGATAACAAGTTTCAAGCGAATTGGACAAATTTTTTAAAATTCGGCTGCCATATTGGATCCGCCATTTTGAATTTTTAAATTTTCACTTCAGATTCGTAATCAGCGACCTCGAAAACATTAAAAACAGCAATGACTTTCGAATTTAATATTTTTGTCTCTAAGTTAGAAATTTTATTACTTACGCATTTACATTTATGGTGGTTTATAATTGTTAAAACAAAAACATTATTTTTTTAATTTGTCACTCATTTTTTAAAAGTTTACATTTCTAGAAACTTTTTCATATATTATACGTTTATTTATATTGCGTACAATTTTGGTCAGAGCAAAAAGTTGTAAGAACATTGATTTCAAATTTCTTGCAGGTATTTTGGTAAACAGATTTTATAAACTAACCTACAGTTTGGGTCAAATCTCTATCAGGTTCACTCAAACCAAATTAAGGAACTACTACAACATCCAACATTAATCGAATTAGACATGTAAGAAGCTTTATCTGAACTTAGGCGATATCCGGCGTGTATCAAATTAGAGAGAGAGAGGGGGGAGGGAGAAAGTAAGTCTCTAACAGGTACACGATTACTGAAGATTCCCCTTTGGGAATGAGCGCTTTAGAGTGTTATTTGGGATAAACGAAATTTTTTCTCACCAACAAAACTAATAAATATTTTCATGGAAAAGAAATATCTATTTAATAAATTTCAAAAAAATAGCTAACAAATTTTTCTCTATTCAGTGAATATTAAAATATAAAAAAATTTAAAACATTTCATTTCATTGATACTATTCGAAAATTAATTTTTTTTTTGCTGTGATTCAATAAGTTCGTTTTAACATTAACACTTTGTCTCGATTGTACAAGAAGAAGGCACTTCGCAAAAGCTTGATTCAACATTTGCCGCTGAGCAATGTGCGAATGTATGCGCACGTTTATCGAAAAAAAATTCGCATAGAGAAAGACTTGGATGATAATACGTCGAGGGAGTTCGCAATGCACATAAGAAAATCGCATATTCCATTCGATGCACTTAGAATATTTCTCTTTTTTTTTTACTTACCTTCTTTTGTCATGCCCTTTATCGACTTAACGTAAAGAGAAAGTAGAAAAGGGATAAATTTTTAATGATAAAAATCTGTGAGATGGATTTAGAATTTTTCTTTTTCTAAAGATTATGCGCTTTTGTAATGAAAATCCATTATTTTTGTTTTTATTAATAATTTGTATTACCTACATTCAAAACATTTAAAGAAATAATATCCATTTTGTTTATTAAATTTAAATTCGTAGAATATTACATTCGATTCTAAAAATTGATTTTTACTTGAACCTTTTTATCCGTAGGTTTTGAGATTACATACATGAATTAGTTGTCAAAAATTTAAATGGCGGAAGGTAAACAGAAAAAGGAAAAAACAATTGGTAACTTAGAATTTATTTAAAAAAAAAGAAAGAATAACACCTTGACAATTTTTTTTCTACTTTGGCACTTCCACTTATTCGTAAAGTGTGTATATTTTTATCGACAACTTTAAAGCTGTAAACTTCTATCTTTTCTTGAGCTGAAAAACCGTGAATGTCGTTTTAAAAATTCTTTTAGCACACACGTTTGTAGTGTCATTTGGTATCTTTAAAGTTAGATTCCAGTGTTTACAACGCACTAACTTAAACTTGCAGATTATTGCTTCGGTGACTATAAACGAAAAAATTACTAAAAATTATATTAAAATCTCAGTAAAATCGGTTTCAAGTGACTCATTAATTTACTTGTACAAATCAAAATCTTGGCTTGTCTTAGATCTACATGTAACTAACATTCGACGATAATTGGTTTTAATAATCGGAAATTTACTTATAGTATACGTTGTTTTAATTCTCTATCCAAACAATGAGGTACCTTTGCAACAATGAACACTCCAATTATAATATAAAATATAGATTTATCGATAGTTGACACTCTTTACAATGGTTGATCCTGGAATGGACTTTTCGGCGTCCTGTTGGCTAAAATCGTCGCCCAGGTCTGCTAATTTTAGTCGGCTATATAAAAAGTTTTGTTTAATATTTTTAAATAATTTTTCCTGTTAACACCTACTTCGACCTAGGAGCGATGTACAATGGAATGACAGACCCTAAAGTTTCCTCATCGAATCTGGTTCTCGGAACCCTAAAAATCTTTTAAGAAAAATAAAATTTATCATTGATTTTTATAAATTGAACCCAACACACATTGAAAGAAATGGAACACAAGTAAAATGGGAATATTGCAAGCCGCATGTTACATGAAGCAAAAACACCAAGAGAAGAAATAAAAACGTAACAGCACACTAACAATAAGAATGAGGGCGATTTACACGTGGCTTCCAGTTGGTAGAGTTTATGTCCGACAGTCCGTGACGTGTGGGGAGTTTTACGCCTGCACACTATACGATTGTGAAGCTGTGAGCTCACAAGCGTTGTTCATCTCATTCTCGTATCTCTTTTTCTCTCTCTCTCACACACAGCTTCTCTAAAGGGCCAGCAACACACTGTCTCCCTGACAAACCGCACTCCACCTTCCTTTTTTCGCCCACTCTGTTCCTACTTGGATTGCCTTCTTTTCCTGCGAACTGAAGGTGAAATATTTTTTGAAAGAGAAAAATCGCCGAAGCGACTCACTATCTGACTCTAATGCTGAGCCTTTTACAACTTTTCTTCTCTCGAAAAACATATAATAATTTGTTGCATCCTGCACCATCTGTTTAGAAATATACGACACACACACACAGAGACACCTATTTATTGAACAACAGAAATACAAGTTTTTTCTTTGCGGTAACAAAGAATGTCACACATCCATGATCACATTTAGGTTTTTGTTTCATGTGAACTTCAGCAGTAAAGGATTTTTATAAGATTCCATATGTCTGTTAAAAACAGTTAGAATTATATCTAAGGATTGAAAAACATTGTTTAATGCCTAATTATAATTCAAGTTGATTTTTTTTTTTTGGAGGAAATTTACAAATAGTTACCAGGTACAATATGAGTGTTGACGTTATATTCTGTGCTTTTAATTTTCAAACTTCTTTTGTCCTTTTCATTTACATTTTTCATTGAGAATTCGAAATTTCCTCATAGCAATATGAACATTGAATACTACTCTGTCGTAAAACGAACGAAACATTGTTTTTTGTCAAGTCCATTATCCCACAAAATTTTTTAATACCTGCTAATTCTATTTCAAAAAACATTCTGAATGCATGAATAACAACTTTTTTTGTTTCTGATATGCCTTATTAAGAGTTACGTATTTGGAAATTAGAATATCTTTTGAATGTCTTTAGGATATTTACGTATATCTCTGGGACATCCTACGGATATTCTAATTTCTGTATATGTTTAAGACGTTCGAAGGATATCCGGATGCTATTAGGGTTATATTTATTT